AGCCAGGCTGGTACAGCAGCAACAACAGAGGCTAGCGTTGATACAGAGCCTGATAATGGCGATAACTTTGACGGCATTAACTGGGATCGCCTCCCTCGGTTCATGAAGCCTCTTACAACTGGGCGGCGCGTCAAGAGTTGGATCTTTCAACATGGATATCGCGTTGTTGAGCTCTACGATCAGAATCGAGTGTGGTTTGTTTGCAAATACTGCCACATCCACAAGGTCATTGACACTGGCGGCAGTGGAGTTTTTGACGTATCAAAGGCCACCTCCTCAGCTGCAGCTCATCTTGGCCTTCAGAAACGAGGCCATGGCTTTACAAAAGACGGCCTGAAGCCTCGAAGAACAGGGCAGCAACTCTCTCTACGACAGACGCTGGAGACTGGTGTTGCAGTCTCTCAAGAGGCTGCCAACGCGATGGGCAACTTCAACATCCAGCAGTTTCGTGAAGTTGCAGTGTTCTGCCTTCTTGATAACAACTTGCCAATGGAGCTACTTGCAAGGCCGTCCTTTCGCGAGATGATTAGCCTTGCAAACCCAGAGGCAGAGGCAGCTTTGTGGGTAAGTCCTCGCAGTGTAGCTACCTACGCAATGCGCCTCTTCCAATATATGCAGCCACAGATTGTCTGCGCTCTGTCAGAAGCTGCAAGCAAGATCCACATAAGCTTTGATGGTTGGACGACAAAGGGTGGCAAGCGTGGATTCTTTGGAGTCGTTGCACACTTTGCTAACGCCTCTGGAGTGATACAAGATCTCCCCATCGCCCTCCCACATCTCGCAGGCTCTCATACTGGTGATGCTATCGCTGATACAATTAAAAAGACGCTCCAAGAATACAGTATTGGGAGTGATAAACTCGGCTACTTCGTCCTCGACAATGCTGCAAACAACGATACTGCAGTCTCCTCGCTCGCCCACGCGTACGACTTCAACGCTGCTCACCGACGCCTCCGCTGCGGCCCTCACACGCTTAACCTTATTGGCCAGGCAATTATCTTTGGCAGCAATCAAGAGGCGTACAACAACAACAACGACGAGCAGCTCCAAACAGAGGAGGTGTACATGCAGGAGTGGCGTCAAGAAGGGCCCTTAGGTGTACTTATCGACGTTATCAACCATATAAAAACGCCTCAACAACACGAAATTTTCCGAAGCTTCCAAACCGCCGCCAACACCGAGTTGCCAGCTAGAGAGCGCCTCCACGTACTTGAGCCTGTGAAGCCTGTTGTTACACGCTGGAACTCTTACTACGCTGCCTTCAAACGCGCAACTCAACTCCAGGCAGCATACAACTCTTACGCTGAACACTACATTAACGCACTCTCCCTTGAAGATCGCCGCGCTTGTCAACGTGGCAATAAACTCCCTGAAGCACCTAGTTGGATGAGATCAACAGGACTTACAGCTGCTGATTGGGCGGTGATAACAGAGTATCAGGACTGCCTAGAGCCGCTTAAGCTTGCTACGGAGAAGCTTGAGGGTCGCGGAAAGGCAGGCAAATACGGCGCTATATATGAGACTATTCCTGTATTTGAATACGTACTTGGCGCGCTCGAAGCCCGTACGCGCTCGTACGAGCAAGTTGACTTCAACCCACCTGATGCGCCTGAAGATCACCTCTTTGTTAACCTCCGCGCCGCCTGGAGTAAGGCCAACGATTACTACAACAAGCTCGATCGATCGCCAGCATACTACGCTGCTACCTGCCTCCATCCATACTACAAATACTACTGCGAGAACAGCTGGGTGGATAAGCCAGAATGGCTAACATCAGCCAACGCTGGCTTCCTGCAGCTCTGGCAGTCGTATAAGCCTCAACGTACACGTCCTCCATCTCAAACAACTGCAAAACCAAGGCATGGAGGAATAGATGATGTGATTGGCGCCCTCGTACGGCGCAACAAGGCTCAGGTAGAGGCTGCCCACGACGATGAGTACGAGCGCTGGAGAACTCAAGAGCCAGAGTGGACAAGCGAACAGTATCTTAGCGATGGCCACCCAGTCAAGTACTGGATTCAATTACGCTCAAAATACCCGTGTTTAAGCCAGTTTGCGATTGATATACTCACGATACCAGCATCTAGTTGCGACTGCGAGAGGCTCTTTAGCGAGCTTGGCGATTTACTTGAGCCGCGCCGGCGAGCTCTTGGCAGCGAGTTACTTGCTGCCCTTCAGCTTGTACGTTCGTGGAGACGAGCTGGCTTTGACGGCTTGTACAACAACGGTGATGATGAAGACAAGTGGAGTGACGTCAAAGATGAGGAGATTGTACAACAGTACGATATAGAAGGCTGGAGTACAACACCATAACCCCCTGTATACTACTTCTTAGCATCAATCAGCCAATCAACCAATCAATCGCAATCAATCTGCTCAAAAACCCTAACAATCAATCCGCAATCAATCAGCAGCGTCGCCGCAAGCTAATCAAACCAATCGACAACCTTAAGATTGATTGATTTGATTGTTGCGGAGTCTGTTGGATATACCCACACCTCAAGCGCTCATAGACATTGAGGACCTTCTGTCTCCATTACAGAAACAGACTTATGAGGAAAACAACTCTTTAACCCAGAATGACCGAAACGATGCTGAAACAGCAACCGAGAAAGATATTCAGTTCGAACTAGGGAATCTAGACAAGGAATTCGATAATTCTGCAACACCAGAATCTACGATTAGGGTCAGACATCCCGATGATAGCCCTACAACACCAGAATCAATGGTTTCCCGTCGACAAAACGTACCAGGCGGTTGGGGAGATCAATACCAAGACTACGTGCCAGACCGATACCAGAACAACGCTCCAAGACGTTTGAATCCAGAGGTTGGCAGTCAAGAGAATGTGATTGAAGGACACCGAAGACGACACCGAGCCAACTACTCTGATCATAATCACCTGAGTACGAATATGACCTACTATAGTACATTTTTGGCCGCAATCAGTCAACCAGAAACGACGAAACTGTTCGGAGAATTACCGAAAGTTCGACTCTATAGAGATCAGCTGCCACCACCTCCAAAACGCTATCGAGACGTTGCTACGCACCCATTTGCCAATGAGTTTCAGAAGGCAATGAATGTCGAATTTGACAACTGTTGGAAGAAAGGTTGCTTTGCTCAAACACCTGCAACCTCATCAACTGCTGATGCTGAGGTTTTACCCCTAATGTGGGTGTACACATACAAGTTCGATCAAGATGGATACTTGTATAAGTTCAAGGCTCGACTTGTCGTACGCGGAGATCTTCAAGCAGAATGGGGAGACACCTACGCGGCCACGCTGGCTGCCCGAGTCTTTCGAGGATTAATCGCGCTAGCTGCTGCGTTCGACCTCTTAATGTTTCAGTACGATGCACTAAACGCGTTTCTAAACGCACGAGTAAACAGAAAGCTTTTCTGTTATACACCTGAAGGCTTTGCAAAACAGTATGGAGAACTACTCCTAATTCGTCGAGCATTGTACGGTCTTAAGGAAGCTCCATTGCTTTGGTATGCAGAACTTCAGAAGACCCTAAAGAAGCTGGGGTTAAAAGCAGTTCCTGGAGTTCCTTGCTTGTTTGCCAACAACAATCTAATCGTTTTCTTCTACGTTGATGATATCGTCGTCTTGGTACATCCTTCAAAGACAAGTTACAAGGAGGAATTCGAAAAGCGCTTGCTACAGATCTACGATCTCCGAATACTTGGCGAATTAAGTTGGTTCCTTGGGATTCGTGTGATACGCGATCGACCTTCGAAGAGCATTTGGTTAATTCAAGACTCCTTTATTAACAAGGTTGCAAGCAAGTTCAACCTAACAAGCGACAAGGGATACCCCGATTTTCCGATAAAGGAGAACGTACTACCACCGTCAACGGAAGAACCAAACTCTAAGCGCACGAAAATCTATCAACAACTAGTTGGATCACTAGCTTACATTGCCACGTTTACACGACCTGATGTCGCACGAGCGCACTCAGTACTGGCCCGACATCTTGCAAACCCTGGCCAAAAGCATTTATACGCAGCAATCCATTGCTGGCGTTATCTTATTGGCAAGAGAAATCTGGCGCTCAAGGCCTCAGGAACTCAAAATGAGAAAGACCTGTTCGTAATCCCCGTAGAGAACGCGGACAAGTATACAGACACGGTTGAACCAATATTTTATGGCGCATCTGATGCTGCCTATGCGGACGAACCTGACACGAGAAGAAGCTCTGAAGGATACTTGTTCAAGCTATACGGCCTGTCTGTTGACTGGAAGGCTGCTATCCAGAAGACTGTTACAAAGTCCACAACAGAAGCAGAACTTCTAGCTCTGTCCCGAGCTGGCGGAGAAATGGAATGGTGGAACAGGCTGTTCCGCGAAATTCGATTTAATCCAGATATAGTCTCGAAGATCTGGTGCGACAATCAACAGACTGTTGGCATAGTCACAAAGGCTGAAGAGAAGCTTCAAACAAAGCTAAAACACGTGGACATTCATCAGCTGTGGCTACGACAAGAGGTAGAGGCTGGAAGAATCCATGTAGACTGGAAGCCGACTGCCTACATGCCCGCCGATGGACTGACAAAGGTACTACCTCGACAGAAGCACGCCCAGTTCATCAAGCAGCTTGGTCTTGAAGACGTCTCAGATCGCTTAATCACCACCATAAAGGACATCAACAACGAGTCTCTCTTAGAGATACATGATTAATTTCAGCTTTCACTATTCATTCAAGCTGGGGGGGTGTGTTGCCATTCAGGACTACCCTTCTTGGAATCGGCCCGATGCTTCTTGGCCGAATGTTCTACAACCTTCACTTTCACTCCTTTGCCGTTATGTGCTTACGTATATCTTATGTATATAACCTTGTGTATCTACTCCGTAGGACAATCAACGCAGTTCTCATATGCAGTTGTTGACGTCTTGTCTACTGCGATAGTAGCATGCTGCACGCAGAGGTGAAGCCGCAATCGCTAACGACTGCACGACCATCAATTCTTTGCGAGAGCTCTGCAATGTGCCAATCATGGTCGGTTCTGTCGGTTCTGTCGGTTCTGTCGGTTCTGTCGGTTCTGTCGGTTCTGTCGGTTTTGTCGGTTCTGTCGGTTCTGTCGGTTCTGTCGGTTCTGTCGGTTCTGTCGGTTCTGTCGGTTCTGTCGGTTCTGTCGGTTCAAATTCAATCAATTTAGGTTTACAGGAACGGTATACCTAAGGGGTAGAAGGAATACATATTAAATCATAACCTAATTCTTTTCATTCCACAACCATGCTCGATTAGCTCTTCAATATCTTTAATCTCCTAAGCTCAGTCTTTCAATTAGTGTCAATTTCTAAGTGAGTTTTTTACTCCTGCCAATTGTGAAGAGCGCTAATCTATCGTTTAGAAATTTCAACGATGCCTGAATCTAAGTCTTATGGTTATAGTCCTCTAGCAAATGAAGAGCTTGATAAACATGCACGTAGGCCATTCAATCGGAATAAATTTGTCGGCAGATTGGCCTCGGCAACTGGTTGGACAGTTACGACATCCTTACTCATTGCAATACTATGGGTACTGTTACATTCACATCAACTCTATACGCCGAATAGCTCGCCTTCAACGACAAACAGCGTCTCGCCATATATGCAGACATGGACGAACTGTGGATCTACCCCTGCAGAAGCTCGGCATCGTGGATGTAAATTTGACATTTTAAGCTTCACATGGGAAACGCCAGAGTGCTACGACGGGAGAATGATGGATGATTTCATGGCTGAAAAGGATTGGGAATACTTTTATACTGAAAACGGAACATCTACCATGTCTCGAGAAGTGGCACTTCAAGGCGATTACGATACTTGTTGGGTTACGAAAGAGTACCATCGTGTACACTGCATGTACACGTGGCGAAAGTTACACCGAGCGTTCACATCACAGAAGTATGTCAGCGGCTACGTTCAGGATCACCATCATATGCTTCACTGCTATAAGGTTATGTTGGACGAGCAGTTGCCCCCGCAGTCCGTTAGCGTCGGTGCGGAAGTACATTATCCTGAATGCCTACCTGTACTGTAACGGTGGGGTCGAGGAAGAGAGGGATTGCATTGTCGGAGTAGCTATGAAGGAGGGCAGCTATATATATGAATGTGGGATGTACGAAGTGTGGTAGCGAGAGCAGTACCCAACTTGTACCAGAATAGGTCTTGGCATGGCCCAAACCGTTACATGTACTTAGTAGCTGTGACGGTTATAATGAGAAACGGATCACGTGCTTCACGTGTATCACGTGATGGTAATACGTCGTGGTAATACGTCATGTAAAATAGACCCTGCTGCTGCCTTTGTAGCAAGGCCAGCAGACAACAACAAAAACACACAGACAGATAGCGAATACACTGATCACTGCCTCGCGCAGTTGCACTTGATTGAAGGTTTACACCGCAATAGTAGCTCTGTATATTAAAGCCACAGTATAACTAACGTCCATCCTTGCGTAGTGGGACACCCTGTGTGCCCGGACCGGCTAATCAACTTGCAGATTTTGGGCAGAAGTTTGTGATTTAAGCGAGCTGATTGGCAGGTCCCGGCACACAGGGTGTCCCGCTACGCAAGGATGGACGTTACGGAATACATACGTTACCTTTAGTCAGTTTACCAGAGTCTGACGTATCACCCCACACTCTGCGGTTAGATACTCTTAAGCCGTACTAACTAACGCTAAGATAAGCCCTAGCGCTAGGCAAAAGCGCCCTAATAGGAACGATTAACCAAAATACATAGCTTTAACGTCATTTAACCCCCTCTCATTGGCCTAGGCCTAGCATCCGATCTTCTCTTGTGCGACAGTCAATACGGCTAAAGAGATAGTTTTAAAACTACCTGACAAACCGGAGTTTACGGATAGAAAAGGGGAGGTAAGGCCAGAAAAGAGTAGGCAAGATAGGATATGCAGACAGACTTATCCGAACTTCACTGTCCATGCAGAGTGGCTGACAAGTAAACAGGGAAAACAACGATCGCTATCGGTTCAAGGAAATTTTCGGACCCCGATGCAAGAGTGAATATCCGGCTACGCTATCTTCTACTTACCCTTTATTCCTGCTTCCGCACAACGTCTCTAACATCTTCACAACACCCTCAACCGCTGTTTAATCATGATGATCTTCCAAAGGCGTACGAAAGAAGGATACGCTACTCTAGGGGCTAGCAGCCCTACCTACGGATTAGAGCATGATTCAGACGAAGCTGCATGCAACTCTCTGATCCCAACATGCTCAACAATAATGAGATATGTCGCACTCTGGATCGTTATTCCGGTCATAACGAGTTCCGCTATAGTGTTGTGGCGTGATCCATTGAGATGCAGTGGAATTGAGTTGAAAAAACATGAATTTGGTCCGCAAAACCCTCGTCTTGAAAACATGCCTCAAGCAACAATCACTGACCAGAGCTCTATAGGTCCAGTAAGAGACTTTATCGAGAAAACCACGGAGACTTTTACTGGAACACCAGTCTTTGGGGATGATGGCACCGCACACGTAGAACGCCTTCCTGGTGTTAAAAAATACATTGGCAGTGATAAGGACGTTGAAGCAAATTGGGATGAACTTGTCCGCGATAGGATTTTCTATGTCAGCGAGGAGGAAGCTAAGGCATATTTTCCACATAATTATCAGGAAATTTACTATGAGAAAGGAATGGGTTGGCAGTTTAGGTACGCAGATTGGATATCCCTAAGATGATATTAGCAAACTAACAATTGATAGTCTTGATGTGTTCCATACTCTACATTGTGTGGTAATAATTTTTGTATCTTCACTGTGCGTTTTTATTCTAATGGACGCATTATAGAACCAAATCCGTCTCACATTGCGAAACAAAAACGAAGATCCACAGTCTTTCCACAATTACCATATTGGTAAGTCGCTTGCCTAGGGCTAGTCTTCTATATAGTAAGATGGAGGCTAACTGTAAGCCAAGAACACTGCCTCGAGATCATTCGCCAAGCGATCCAATGTCATGCCGATCTGACTCCTATTCCAGGACATGAGATTCGCGGATCATCTCAGCGTAACGTATCATTCAATCACTTCTTTGATTCAGATCAAACGCATACCTGTCGGAATATCTGGACGCTGCGTAAGCTAAGGAGACATCTCAACGAAGCTAGAAAGAATATGCCTTTTGCTGACAACAATATTTAGGCAAATTCCTTGATGAACGAAAGAAGATGGATGATGCTAGAAGAAAAAATCTTGTAGATGGTGAAAGAGGATAGCTGGTTACTGTTGGTTAGACCTCGTACTGAGATCTGGAAGACAACCGATGTTTTTGTAACCAGGTATATTCGCTAGTGTAACAAAGGGGAATAAGAACAATCTTTCGATCTCCTATGTAGCATGAATCAATCTGCCTATCTCGGAAGCCATCTTAGTGCACACTCAATTCAAGTATTTCCAGGAGCTTCCTGCGATTAACAATTATTTCAATTGGTTATGAGCCTGGGGTTGCAACCCTAGGATACTTCGTGAACGCGACCTTGCTGGTCACCCCCAAAGTCCTAAATCAATCGGACACGCGACGATACGGGTGAATTGCTACTGGGATAATAGGCAATAAATCTATCACTCCTTAGTAGAAGCCAGTGAGTGATTACTTTAACAGCAGGTCATGACTGTCCCGCAACCTCAGCTGTGACAACAGAGAAAGACACCTGGGAATGCCAACGATTGGCTTAGGATTACAAGGCCAACCCAAAATACGAGACCTACTAGGTTATTCCTCCGATCGACTAACACGGCATTGAGCTCGGAAACCAACTCGATGCACATGCATTGGCAACCAATACAATAGACATTGCTAACAACAACAAAAAGGACGGCAAGGTGAGCTCACTTTCAAAGGCCGTGATGACTAAGCAACGGAGGATTGTTTTGTTGTGCAAGGATAACCTATACGCATGGTCCCGTCAAATGCGAAACTGGCTGGAAGGCTGGAAAGAGATGGGCTATACTGGGTCGCACAAACAACTGTACCTACTCTTACAAGCACCACTAGCTCCACGCCTGCTGACCCTCTCGCTGCTGGGTTAAACAATCTTCCACTCAACAACCCACCACCTGGAGACCCAAGCAATATTGCTCTGTTCAACTAGAAGGATGATAAAGCAAAGTACTGGATGGATCTCTCTCTTAGGGAGTTTGATTAAGAAATAGTTAAGTAAGAAATATCAGGTTTAGCAAGAAATATTTTCTGCTTAATGTAGTTCACAAGCGAGTCGCTCACGCCCCATCAGCGCATCAACGTCAAGGCTATAACGCGTAATGTCTCAACAACGCACTACTCAAAATTCCTACAGAGGATGCTCTAACCGTGGTCGAGGTACAAGAAGTATTAGCTAAACAGGCGGGTAGTAGCCGTGGTAATGGTGGAAGCGCTTCGAAGAGGGTGCGAGGAGAGAGGCGGTGCGGACGTTGCAAGCAGACTGGACATAATGCCCGTACCTGTACAGTTGAGATAGATAGTGCTAGTAACAGTGGTGATTCTGATAATTAATTTGGTATACTACGATAGTTTATAGACTATGATAAAAGTCGGTAATAATGTCTTCACGGGGCGTGAGCGACTCGCTTGTGAACCACGTTATGTCGAGAATAAAGCAGAGAGTAATTAGCTACTGTGCCGGACGACGTAGCGTCCCCCTCCCCCAACCAATATCAGCACTACAAAATCAAGGCTACAAATTTTACGCAGCTATGCAAGCATAGTAACAAGTAAGCTTGTTTCTATCGTTGTTTTGTAGCTATATTTGTCTTCAAGGTAAATTCTGTGGATGACATGCATCGCCGTTGGCCAATCATTAACTCGCGTCCAGTGGCTGGGTTGGTGGCGGGAAGAAGACAATGTTCGATGTTTAGAGTTGAGAGCCTGTAAATCTACATAAAGCTACTATGTTTACCAATCGAACGTTTCATTATGCCAGAAGACTTCATGGTCCTTGTTCACCCATACTTCGACACCACTCCTGAGATCGTCTATCATCCTCTTTGGGCCGCAGCAAATCACCGCTATCTTCACACCTTTGCTAAAGACCTCCTCTACGATGCCTTTGAGATCTGGCCTGCCGCTCTTGATCAACATGCTCTCGTGCGGCTTTTGTACCTGCTCATCCATGTCTAGTAGTTGGTCATTCTCTTGCATTTCGATCGTCTCTCCTCCTTCGTCATCCGAATCCACGGCAAAGTTGTTAGAAGCAGTTGCGTTGACTCGCAGATTCAACCCTGCAGACCGCGTTACATAGACCTCTATGTTGCTCGATCCGTGCACCAAGCTATTCCTGTCGGCATGCGTGCCTGTATCTTCACTCCCAACACCTTCTTCATCCTGCCTGTCACCAGACGAAGAGTTTGTAGCAAATGCCCATTGTGTCTCGGCGAGCTTCTGCACTGTCCATACGCACCGGATCTGATTATCTGTTGGTACATTATCATGAAGCCCAAGAATATCTCGGTAGATGGGCATAATGAACGTGGCGCCAATGCCACCAGCTACCAAAAGAACTCTGTCGTAACCTAACAAGTCTGGCAGCCGGGCTGATGCGCCATATGGTCCTTCGAGAGCGAGTGGTAATGTCAGAGTATCCCCGCCTGCTGTGGGCAATATCGGCACGGTAGTGCCGCTCCCCTTGGCCAGCGATCGCACAAGTTCTCCAAGATACTTTGTGTTCCCATTTAGCGTTTTTATGATAAGGAGTAATTCCCTATCTTTTGACGGAAGAGACGCCACTGTGAAAGGATTTGCCCTTCTCATCATGAACCATTGATTGTACCATGTGGGAGCCTTACCTTTGCGCCTTGGTCTGCTGAGGTAAACATGCTGTCCAGGACTCCATCTAAGAACGGCACTATCGCTGGTAACGGGATACGAACCCTGGATTAGATTGGTGCCTGAAAGAAGCTTGAGCATACCTTTGATATGTCCTAAGACGCATAGCACGCAAGATCAGATGTAGGGTTTCTATCGCAATCACCTCATACACGTACACGCGAATATGCGATACATGTAGAACAGCGACAGATAATAGAGTTCGCAA